ATTAAGTGTCAAATCAATTAGTTAGTTAATCAATTAGTTCACTAATCAACTAGTTGTTTTATATAGTATTACTTTGATTTTAGAATTAATAGACAATTATATCTTAGCCATTTTGATATACCAACTAGTCAACTAGTCAATTAATCAATTAGTTTGGTTATAATTAATTTTTAATTGATTTTTTAATTTTTTTTTTAGCAAACTAATTTATTGCATTTTTTGGTCCAATTTGTAACACTGAATTAAGAAACTAATTTATAATTTAGTTGTCATCAGAAACAACAGAAAAAATAAAAAAAATATAGGAAGTTATAGAAGAGTAGATATATAAATTAGATATAAAGAATTTAGAATATGACCACTCCATATACCCAGGAATTCTAGATGATCTTTAAAACCATTTGAGAATATGAAAAAAAATTCATAAAAACTTTTAGAAGACTGAGTGATAAAAAATTTAAATTACTAACAAATATCACATTAAAGGATATTTGTGAAAATTTTTTTCAAGAAGAATAAGAGAAGTATAATAAATCTTCTCAACAATTTGGAGATGCGAAATTTTGTAAATTTTTGAATAAATCTGAGAAATTGCACGAACTAACAAATCAAATATTAATAGTGCTAAGTCGTATTTGGAATTCACCTAAGTAGAAAAAAGCATGCAAGAATAAAGAATTGTCTTCCATAAATGAGAAATTGTATATAGCAGAAGTTTTATCACTATTGATAAATATTACAATGAGTGATTTACCTGTAGATTCTCATGTATAGGGAATATAGTATGTATATTATTTTTTTTAATATATTATTTTTTTTATTTTTACTTTGTATATATCATACTAATCTTTTTAAATATAAAAGAGAGAAAAGGCAAGCTCAGCTAGTGCAAAGAGGAAGATATCAAATAAATAGGCAAGGCATCCTGATTATTTGGTTTGTGCACAATTGAATAGTTTAGATGTTGAAATTGAATACCTTAAAATAGGTTGTCTGAAATTATCTTTTGATAAACAAAAATAGGATCACAAAAAATTGAATAGGTATGGCAAGAATTCTATTGATTTTATTAAGGAATCAAAATATAAAAGAAAAACTGAAAAGTTGTCAATAGACTACTTAACAATATTTACAATCAACATTGTCAGGGATATTATAGAGTTTTGCTCTATGTGCAAAGAATCAGGTTTATATAAAGTTTCATTGCTTAATTGAGTGAAAATATTCTAACAACAGATTCAGATCAAGTTTATTCTCTGATTTATAATCTACTTTCTTTTAGAACAGCAATCATATACACTGTGTGTAAAATTTTGTATATTCCTAAAGTTTATATAGATATGGTATCAGTTATAACAGAATCCTTATATATGTCAATATCATCATATTCAACTATTCCATCACCAAAACACATGTTATTAAAAAGATCACATAAAAATGTAGTAGAGAAAGATTAATTTATATATATTATTATAATAAAATGTTTTCACCTTTTTTAAAAATTGGTATTTATAACTTTGAAATTGTAAAATAAGCATATTATATTTTAATTTATAATTTTTAAATTATTACAAATTAAAAAAAAAATTATATTTTATATTAATCATGTTATTTGTATTAACTTTTATATTATTAAGCTAAATTAATAAATAAACAAAAACATTTAAAGAGAACACTAAATTAGTACTAAAATTTTAAGAATATAGGCAAAACCTAATACCAATAAATTAATGATTTTTATATGTTATCTCATTAAGCCTAACTATATAGTAAAGCATAGATTATTTTTTTTGATAAGAACTTCTTTTTTAATTTTATTTGAAGAGGTTTTATTGTTTTATTGGATACCAGCATATTGCAAAAACTTTATTAATATCACAGTTTATTAGATAAAATATTTAATTCTACAATCCCTATTTAAAAAGAATCTATTATTTAAAACTTTAATTTTATGTAAATTTGACGAGTTGTAATACAACCAGATAGTAATCATTTGATATATTTTTATTTTCTTGATTATTTACATAATTTTTCAAAAAAATAAAAAAAAACTACTATAAATATCCGAATACAAGACCTAAGTCTGTTACATTTTGCCAATTTTAAAATCTATAATTAGACTTGTGGGTTTCTTGTATGGATGTAAATCTGATAATTGGAAGGTTTAAGCTATTTTCTTATTTTTTCGTATACTCTGGGTTTTATACATTTTACTAAAACATCTTATTGTGAACCTGGGCATAATAATGAGTCTACTATTTAGAGAGATCTTGACCATTTATAGTAATAAATATCACTACTCTTAGTAGAGCATATACAGATAAGGTTTTTTTATTATTTATATTTGTTAAAAGTGAAAAATAATTAATTTTCTTTATTACCATTCCATTATATATACTATATTTAACTTCTAAATCATTTATATCAAAATTACAAAAAGTACATCATTAATTTTCTATACTAAATTCAACTATAGCTACATATTTTTTATGTGTATTAATTAATGTCAAGTATATATATATCACAAAATTTGAAGAAACTAATTCAACGTGATAAGTATTTTATTATTTATTTATTATTTTTTGATATATTGCTAATTTTTTTTAATTCAGCTTCTTTTAATTGTTATATTGCATACTAGCACTTTGTACACAAATATTTGTCAAACTGATTTTCCTTTAAACAAAGCCATCCTCTTTTGATATTTTTCTGCTGAGGCAAATCTTTTGAATTTTTCAAAAAAATAAAGAATATTAAAGATATAATTTAAAAAAAATATAAAATTTTAAAAAAAATAGTAATCTTCAAAGTTTCTAAGCATATGGCAATCTATTCAAAAGTTCTTAGCCTTGGTAATACAGAATTGTGTTTATAGTACAACCAAAATAACATAAATTTGATTAATACCAAATATACAATGCAAACTATTAGTTAATCTGCAATCATTTGATGTCTGACTTAATCACAAGTATTAACAAGTATTTGACTGTTAAATTTTTGTTTGATTGTGCCAAGCACTAAAAAGGTTTGCAAAAATGAACAAAAATACTCTAAAGTTGTAAAATTTTATACTAAACAACTTTACTTAAAAGACAAAGGCAGGTTATATAAGTGAAAAAAAAGTTGCACATAGAAAAACTGGAATATTTAACTTTAGCATATAGCTAACTTGTTTTTCTATCAAGGTAACCCACTTTCATCTTTTAAGTAAAGTTGTTCATAGCATGCTTTTGCATATTCATTACTTTAAAATCAGTAAAACTTTATTTTTGGCAAGGTTACATTTTTAAAATATGCAAAATGACAAAGCTGTAACTTGCTAGTTAGAGCAAAAAATTTCTTCTTTTCATGCTCTATATTATCACAGAATTTAATTTTAATATGTAGATCGAAAAACATCAAAGCTGCAAAGTTTATAGTAATTTTATATGTTTATTATTATTATTATGTAAAAAATTTACATGTGACATATCGTGTAACTGATATGTATGTACAGTAATTACAATACAATTATATGGGTGAGAATACAGTAATAATTATTCAACCACAGTTCGAATATGTACGTATATACGTATATAATATGACAAGCACTATCACTATGTAATAATTCACAAGTGGCTATTCAGAAAAAAACAATGACGATCTACTAACATAATAAATTTTCAACTTATTAATCAGTATGTCACTTTGCATCATAACAAGTAATACATATGGAGTTATATTATGCGGTATGTAAATATCTTAACTCCTGCCAAAAATGAATAAATAAGAATCATTACTCTTGCTAAAAAAGGATTTTGCAAAAATCAGCATAGGCCACATTTAATGTTATACATGAAATGTGATCGTACTGGAAAAATGAAAAACATTACTTACACAAAAAAAGGACTTTGCAAAAAACAGCATAGCGAACATTAAAAAAGTTAAACGGAAACTTTCACTTTCATATTTCATGTTACACATTATTCTCACTCAGATTTCTTTATCAAACATTATTTACTTTATTAAATATTAAGATATATGATGGGAGTAGTGCTCCACTTCATCACTTTTCTCTTCTGCTATTGCATATTGTGCTCATACTAATTTTGTGTTCACATAGATATAGTCATGTGATGAAGCATAAATGAGGATCGAAAGTATGGGCCCGCTATGTTGTGATGCATTCTTCTTTAATAAAGTAGCAAGTTTGAGCCCACGTTATAGTGCGGCAATCAATTCACTACACATGACAACAGGCAAGGTACTAGGTACAACGAATAAGGTGGGCCTAACACGAAGTAGCCAGACTGTAATCGGCAGTGAAGAGAACAAGTAAACAAGACAAGCAAAGTAAGAAAACATTAAAATTCCCACATATATCTTCATAATCTCTGATGCATGGATATTTATTATATCTATCACCTGTATATCTATGATTCTTAAAGCATATAATTACATGCACATCTATTATCTTTTCATATAAACTTCTATTTTATATAATCCACAAAACTGGTTATCTTTGCGATAATAACTCTAGCGTAACTTCATCAACACATAGGGCTATTCAATGTGATCGTACTGGTATTATGCATTAGCTCTATCGCTATGGAGTTCAGAGTTTAGTTTTTAAAATTTTTGCTTAGTGTAACTATATATAGTGCAACGTATATATATGTAATCAAGTTACATTTAACGGAGTTAAAAATATTTAATTTCAATACAGTATCACTATTTATATTTTGTGGTTTTTAGATTTCTTGCACCATGCATACGTATGTACACTCATATCTGTTGCATAATGAATCAAATGTGGTTACAATCTGATAGCAATTTAGATATAAAAATAATTGCTAGAAGTGAACCAAATATTAAAGAATTCAGTGCATATTCATCAGTTTTACGTTCTTGCTCTCCTTATTTTCAAAGGGCTCTATCTGAATGATAGAAGGATCAAAAACATGGAGTTTATATTATTACAAAGCCAAATATTCATCCTAATATTTTTATGTTTATTCTTGAGTGAGTTTTAAATTCTATTAATTTTATTAATTATATGTTTGTAGACTTTTTGCTAATAAATTAATTTTTAAAATGTTAAGTTATATTTATACAGGAAAAAATATATTGAACACGTCAGCTGAAGATTCTTTAAATATACTAGTTGCATCTGATAAACTCAAACTTCTTGAACTTGCAGAATGTGCTCAAAAGCACTTAGTCAAAGAATTTTCTCAATGTTTTGTACTTCCTAATCTTGTAATGTGTCTTAATGTTATTTGCTGTCATAATCATTTTCTTGAATTATACAACTGAGTTCTAAATTTTACTGTTAGAACTCTTTATTCTCTTTTTGATTCGGCTAATTTGTCTTTATTAGATGAAGTAGCCATGATTTGTCTTTTAGAAAGGGATGATCTTGAATTAGAAGAAACAGAAATTTGGAATTATTTAATCAAATGGGGTATTTCTAAATTTTTTGACAATGATGTTACTGTCAAAAACATATCAAGTTGGTCAGATGAACATTTCATGATATTAAAAGAAACTATTTCTCATTACATTCCCTTAATTCGGTATTATCATATTCCTAAAAATTATATTAACAAACAAATTAAAATCTAAAACAACACCAAGAAGATACTCCAGATTAATTACCAACAAGAACAAAGCTATTATATCAAGTTGGATTGATAAAAAGTATAAAGATTACTTTACAAAACCTTTGATTTTTGCTAAATATATATGCTTTATAATTATTATATAATAAGAATATAATAAAAATATTTTTTAGTCTGTTAAATTACTATTAATTTGCTTGTTATCATATTACTAAATATAAGCTTTGCTGAGATATTGGTAATATATTGGTAATATTATTTAATTATTTTAAACAGACTGTTATTATATTATTAAAATATTATTTTATTTTTTTTTTTAACAGTGACCTCTTTTCGGTTGATACTTTATTGCTAATTTATTAAGTATTACAATTTTTTTAGGATTATACAACTAGCACACGTGCACTTTTGGTGCCTAATTTAAGTAGTCTGCAACTAAGTTATTCTACTAACCTAGAGTTCTATACTAGCTGCCATACCTACAGCCCAAACTACAGGGTTGCCTGTTTAAACCCTCTGATTATACCTCCCTACTTTTATAAATAGAAACTCCTAATAACCTAAGCATATACAACCATTAGAACTAATTTATCCTGGAGGTAATCCTAGCTATCCAAAATATATGTCCCACTCATATGCACTTGGTTAGTCTTAATTAGTAACTTACACATGGTATTACCCAACACTTGGGGTTGGGACACACCTATTTTTTATAACCCCTACTGTTACTAATTACCCTTGTTTGGTTTACTAAACCCCAGTACCACCTCTGTATAGTTTTCATATTCTATGTTCTTGATTTCAATAGTTTACCAATCCAGTTAGCCTGGTAGAGTTGGTCTCGCTGAGGCTTTATGTGCTTCTTGGCACCCTTCTTTTGGTATATGCTTCCAGAGCACATGTCCTTTTCCTCTAGTGTGACTCCGGCAGGCAGGTTGGTAAACTCTGAACCTATAAGGGTCTTTTTATCGACCATTTCTACAAATTTTTTGAAGTAGTCTAATTCTATTTCAGAGTGCTGTCAAAGGTCTAGGTACTTCCAAACTTGGGTCTTGCTAAGCTGGTTTTGGTTCTTCAGATTCTCTCTGTCAGTTTTCTACAGTTCCAAGAACTTATTATAGGTTTGCACCACCAATACCAGTTTGCATTTCTTTGTGAAACACAAATGCCCTAGAACCTTCCAATATATATTGGTGTGACCAGAGTTACAGGTATATAACCCAACCTA